GGTTCTTCAGAGTTTCTATTTAGGTGGCCCATTCTTTTATCTGCATTAGACATATGACTAGGCTTGACTATATTTATAGATAAAAAACTGACCTATAATTGTCCCTAATTTTTTTAAATTACTTGAAACTGGTCAAATTTATGTATTTTGGCAAAATCTTTGCTTTTAAAAAATTCATTACGAATTTTAACATTTTATTAAATCTTATTTGGTGGCAATTTTTTATTTAAAAAATGTTCATGTTATATAATAAATTTTTAATATAATCATTTTTGAGTTGATGATTTAAAAAAGGATAAATTCCGATTTTAAAAAATCTCCAAATTTATTTTTAAAATGCGGGAAATTTTAATCAATACATAATAATTGGTGTAATTATATGCTGTTGTAATTAAATGTATATTAAAAATGGGCATGATTAAAAAAGATATCTTTATATGTAGTCTATATATTTATTGATTAATATATGCTTATTATAATATATAATCCTCAAAATAGGATAAATAAAAATAAATATGAATAAAAACTACAAACACAATCAACTAAAATGTTTTTAGTAAAAAAAATATAAAATATCAAGATTTGTAATTAATTTTCAAAATCAATAACATTAACAAAATGAGATCCAGAATTGTTAATATAAATATTTTAGTCAAATTTTTTTATAAGAAACAAAACCATATCCTATGAATATTAGTAATACAACCATAATTTATAAAATAAAATGCGAACTCATTTTTATATTTTTAAATTACCGGTAAAAAGCTATTCGCACCTGGTTCAATTGTTTCCAGTGATGGAATAGCACCCTTTCTATATTTTGGGGAACTTTCTTTTTTGCTGACACTAAATTTAAGCGAGAAGCATGATATTTCCTCCAAATATTGGTAGTTGGATTATAATAATGTTCAAATTTATAAATGATTTTAAAGAGTGGGCCATCTATAGCTTTAAAAATTTTAAAAATTTTAATTAATCGATTTTTAAGAATTACAATTAATCGATTTTTAAGAATTACAATTTACTGTAAATAATTACAAAATCTTACAATCTTTTAACTTCGAGTCTGAGTATACAAAGTCTACTAGATCCGCTTGAAGATCCTTCAAAAGGCATAAAGAAGATTTTTTATCATCTAATTAAAAAGACAAATTACGTTCGTGGGTCAACAAAGTTTTGGGAATTAAGGTCTTGTTCTTGATAGCTAGCATCATATGTTGTAGTTAAATCATTGTGTCTATGAAATTTTAACTTTTTATTTATATGATTTTCTTTGGAATTGTATGCCTTTTCTATAAAATTTATAAATAACAATAAATAAAGTCATTGTACTTTTTTGGGCCATACTGTATATCCTAATGTTCTACCATAATTTTTGAGATAATTGAATTTGTTTCACGATACTATTTATACATTCATTTTCTTGATCAAAAAATATTAGGCGGGAAATTAACTTGTTAATATATTTTCGTAACTTTTTAACAACTAGGAAAATGCGTATAAAAAAATAAGAAAAAATATAGCTTTTTTGGCATAAGTCTATCATCTCCCTTATAATCATGGACATAACATTAATTCTCGATTTTCCTTTTTGAATAAATGAATCAATGGTTTATGATCGGTATAAATTATGATTTTTTTCGGATTAAAAATTATCGACATTTGGTTAAATTAAAAATGACTGCCAACGCTTCCTGTTCAATAACAGAATATTCCACGTCTGGAAAACTCTTGAAAAAAAAAAAATTGGTCTTTCCAAACCATCAATTAAATGTAATAATACATCTCCAACACCTTTGTTAGATGCATTAACAGCTATTATTATTTCTGAATCCCTGTTAAAACACACCTAAATGGGTTCGTTCCCAATTCCCGTTTGAACGTTTCAAATGCAATTCGTTGTTCCCCTGCCCATTCAAAATGCACTTCCGTTTATAATAATTTATATAAAGGTACTGCAATCCTTGCAAAATCATCCAAAAATCTATGATAATAATTTGCCATACCCAAAAATGACTGAACCTCCGCTTTATTGGTTGGCAGCTTCATATTAGATATATTTTTCAAATTTTTATCAAGAGGTTTCGCTTCCATCTCATTAATTTGATGTCCCAAATAGATAACTTCTGTTACCTCAAGAACACTTTTTTCTTACTGGCCCTGAGACCTTTATCAGGAATTCTTTTGACTTTCAAACGTTGATTAAATTGTTCCTGTGTTTTAACACAAAATGCCTTCTAGGCCCTTGAAAACTGATGCAATAGTTCATTGAAAAATCGGCGCTGAATTAAAAACTCTTTCTAGGCCCTGGAAAACTAATGCCATAGTTCACTGAAAAATCGGCGCTGACACACATAATTCAAACGGTAACCTAGGTTATCGTAAATAATTTATGAATTTCTTCCTTTATAGGTAATTTTAAATACGCAGAAGAAAAATCAACTTTGGAAAAATATCATGCACCTTTTAATTGGCCAAAATTTCCTCAATCCTAGACAATGGATATTTTACTTCCACAACCCCTGGTTTAAAAGTAACTAAGAAATCAGCACACAGCCTCAACTTTCCATTAGATTTTTTCACTGGAATCAATGGTGTGACCCATTCACTATATTCAATCGGAATAATAATGCCATCCTTGACCCATCAGTCTAATACGCCTTCTATTTCCTTTTCCATTCAAAAGGAACTCTTCGACATGCTAAGAAAATGGGTGAAATTTTTTTTTTAAGTTTAACGTCTACTTCATAATGATTTAGACGTCTAAACATTTCTTCAAAAATTATATCATATTTTTTAAAATATTAATCACTTTATTTAATTCATTATTTTCTAATTATATCATTTTATCTTTATCAATTTCACCATTTACTTTAGAGTTACGCGACATATCATAAATTTTTCGGGATAGTCAATAATATGATTATTAAAGACTTCTTTCCTTCGTTCAATAAATTTGACATTTCTTTTTCTTGAATTTTATTTCTGATGCTATCCGCAATTATTTTTTCAGCATTATCATTGACCAATTCGCTATCAATGATAAAAAAATTCCAATAATTGTTACGAGGTCCTATTTTATTAATCCAATCCTACCCCATGATAGTTTCCACATATTTTTCTACTACCCATAAATCCAAACTTATGGTAATGTCATTGAAAATAGCATCCCATTTAGCTTTACTCAAAACTTTAATTTCAGAACCAACAAATTATTTCACACACATATTTTATTTTTCAACAATGCAATTCGGTCATTATTTATAAAAATTATAGACATTAGAAATGCTAGCACCAGTATCGAATAACATATCAATATATCTATGATTAATCCTCAATTTAACCCGAGGAGAAGGACATTGAACATTTAATTTTTTAGTCATTAAAATCTCACATGTATTAATAGGCTGATTAATATTAATTCTATCTGAATCAATTTTATTAGAATCTAAATTAGGGAATAAATTCAACTCGGAATTTAGAGACCTTTTAACAATATTGATATGTGTTTTTACAATACCACTAAAAGATTTTTCCCATTTAAAATTGTTATAATCCATTTTATTCGGATTATAATAATAATTAACATTTTTAATTTTATCACCATGATGATAAAAATTTCTATCATAATCGTTCCTTTTATGAGAATTATATCTCATTTTACCATTATTATATACTTAATTAAATTTTTTTTTATAATTTCTCGGTTTCTCGACCTTTATATGATTATAACTGCAATCATATAGTCAGTTAAAATTATTTGATATTTCAACACAATTCATGGCCACATGTCTCGTTTTTTTTTAAAACTTAAAACACAAACGAGAATCAACATAATCTGATTGCAATCATCAAATTTATTGTGTTAATACCAATGACATATAATAATACCTAGACTGACGATTCATTCATTAAAGTACGTATGAATGAAAATCAGCTGGAGACGCCATGTTGGTTACATCGATGATAAAATTTATAATATAAAAAAATATAATAAATATCAATTATAATATCCTATAAAATATTCCATGGATATTCTTAACTATTTAGCAGAAATTCATGCAAAATTAAGGGAATCAATTAAAATATCCTCATGGCTATTCTGATGTATTAAGCAGAAATTCATGCAAAATTAAGGATCAATTAAAATATCCTTTCAAATATTCTGGATAAATTATGATTTTACAATAATATTTATAATATAAAAATAAATGCTTAGCTTCAGATACATTCTTAATAATATAACATTTTTTTTTACATATTATAAATAAATATGTAGTATTTATTAAAGTATTATAGTATTTTGTTTAATCTTCTTAAAGTCCACTTCAAAATGATTTTTATATTATTCATAATATTTATTATGATTAAAGAAATGAAATACTTATGAATTTAATATTTTAAGTAGTTAAATTGAATCTTATTAACTATTTAACATTTAGCAACCATATAGCAGTTATGGAGAAAATTTAAACCATTTTTACTTTTATTAGGATATCCTTACCCATGTAAAATCTTGATCTCTTGGTATTTATTTTTTCCAATTAGTTTTATTTTATTTATTATTTTTAATAAGTTTTTATCATTCCTTTTTGTAATATTCAATTTTTTATGTTTATTATTGATTTACTATATTTCTTAGGATCAATTCTGTATTGCAAACAAGAGATATATCGCATACAACTTGTTCTTCCTTACATTATATTATCCAGTTTATTTTATCAATAAAACAATTATCATTAATATATTTTTTTTCAAACAGGTAAAATAAAGATTAATAAAAATAAAATATTTTAAGACCTCATTTATAAAAAATGACCTTAATTTTAGATCAATTTAGCTTACTCTTATCTCTTTATTTTTAGAAGAATGGACATATTAATTTTATGATGAAAATCAATAATTTTTCAAGATACTAAAGCCTCTAATAAGATTAAATGTTGTATCATTACAAGAAATAGTTTATTATAAATTAGAAAATAGATATAATGTACCATAAATTACGAAATTCATTAATATAGCATCCATATTTTATTATAAATTAGAAAATATATATAATGTACGATAAATTACAAAATTCATTAATATATAGCATCCATATTTAAATATATACAGTCATAATATAAATTAAAAAAGATCATGTGCCAATATATTTATTGTCCTGCGAATAGAATGGTTTTCGTCAATTTCTGCCGAATATTGATATTTGAATTTTTGTTATGTTTATCTGCATAATGATATAACCTTATGTTTATATAGCGTTCCACTATTAATGTAATTAATATTTGATAATGACTGAATGTAGCCTCCTGATTTAGCATATGATCTACCAGATCATCAAAAATGTTTGTTTCCATTGCTTTAGAAATAACAAATGATACTATGCATTTAAATATAAATGACTTTTTTATTTGATTATTCTTTTCAAAAATACGAAATGCACTTTCTGCTAGTTGACATAATTTAGATATGCTCTTTGAAGGGATTATTAATCCTTGATTGTTTTTTATTTTAATTAAATTGTGCTCTCATTATCTTCACAAGTTTTATCGATCATAGCAGATATACAATTATAACATTTTACCTTTTTTTCAGATATAAGTTTACGTATTATATAACCAGATATATATGTTGCAACATTATCAAGGTAGAGTGATAATTTTGGGATATTTGGCACATCTATAAATGATATATCTAAAGGATATATATGGTCATCATCATTATCATTTTTTTGATAATCTCCACAAATAAGGTTAGTATTGTCAATTGGAATACAATTACCTGTTGTTAATGCTTCCATTTTTCCTATCAAGACAGCTCTAACGGCAGATCGTAATTGATAAGCGGATGGATTATTGTTAAACCCTCCTCTGCTGCGTAAACAACTAAAAAATAGTTCAAGATGATCTTGGGAGGTTTTGTAGGTTAAAACGTATCTAAAATATGAAAAATAATTAAGAAAATTAATAATAATTAAGGTTAGTCTTAAGAGGTATGCAAATATTTTAAAATAAAAATGAAAAAATACCTGAGCTTGAAAAGCAACTAAAAAAATTATAATAATTAAAATCAGTCTTAAAAGATATGCAAATATTTTAAAATAAAAATGAAAAATATATATAAAATACTTGAGTTTGGGAATAGGTCCTAATAATAATTCATTCCCAATACCCAGAATACTTTTCATTGATGTTATTAACCCCATGATGCAGGTTTTTCTATTTGATTCACCTTCATATCTTCCATCTTCAAATTTTAGAGCTTTAAGGGTATTAATACATTTTTCAAAAAAATCCTTATAATAGGGAAGGGATCTTTTTGATAATGGAGCCTTAAACCCTTTAGCACAAATATTTCGAGTATTTAAAAAATCAAACATTCTATAAAAATATTATTAAGATATTTATTTAATACTGATCAATTATTTGAATAAAGTCTACTGTGCCTTCACAGTTTTCAAACCCCTCAATTCCTAGCTCTTGTGCTAAAATAATTCCTTTAGCCACTGAGCTACTAAAAACTTGAACGGCAAGTTTAATCTTTAAAAATAATATTTTAAAAGTATATATTTCTTTTTATAGTACTTTCATTTTCTGCTTATGATACTCAAGATGAGAACGGCCAATTTTATTAGCAGCCCTTAGTCTTTCTTTATCCTGTAAATTGTGAAGATTTTTTATATATTTACAATTTATTATCTATTTGTAAAAATAACATTTAGGAAATATTTTAAAAGTAATTACAGTTCCATTATTATTATTGATTAAAAATTTTTTATCACCGAGCAGATTTCTAAGTAGCTTCATCATATGGCATACATCCAATATAACATACACTTTTTCTTCACAATTACTAGGATGACTAAAATATGGAACACAATTATTTGGATTCAAAGAGGCGCCAAGTATTTGACACATTTTGATATTAGTTGAAAGGCCATCACATACCATTGCCTTACAGATGACCCCAGTATAATGTAATAAATGGAGTGCATTAGTTACTATGTTTGATAAGATCTCAGCACTGAGATAAGCTACTAAAAAATATCCTAAAGGAATTTTCCATGTACCATTTAAACATGTTGCCATAAGAAATAAAGCTTTGCTTGCCTCAGGTAGAGATTCGGAAGGTTTTATTCCATTATCAAAATCTATATATCCATGAAACACTTTTTTATCCTAATGAATATGTCGCCGAATAGACATTTCATCAAGGCTTAAAATAGTAAATAATTGTACATGCGAATTTGATTGAAATGTTTTAATCCTTTTGAAGGAAGAATCTAAAAAACCTAAATAAAATTATTATATATAAATATATTAATTTTAAACCTGGCCTTATTTCTATTTGCTGGCTCCAAGATCTCAATGTAGATTCTGCAGGCATACAGAATTTATTTCTTATATAATTATAAGCTTTGGGTGAATAAAAATGTAATGTGGAAGCAAATTGTTTCATTTGGCTGCTATATTTTATTCTCCGAGGATTATTTAATCCTCCACTCAGATATGACAAAACAGATGAGAAAATACATATAGAAATTGACACTGTAGGGATCAAAAGACGAAAATAAATTTATTATCATTTAAATTAGTTATTTATTGGTGAGAACAAATTTTAATGAGGAAAGGACCAGAAATATTATAATAAAAAAGAATGAGATGGATAGTAGATTTGGGTAAGAGTGAGGTATATAATAAATTGAGTATTATAGAATGACAAACTATAATTAAATATCTATATAATTTAAGTTACTAAAGTTTTGAGGAACATCTTCAACTTAAGAAGTTGATGCTTGCTGGGTCGGATAAGCTATTTAGTATGATTAAAATGTATTGTAAGATAATAACAGTTATTGCTTGTTAATTCAGTTAATAAAGTTTCTAGTTGATACAGCTTCTAGACAAATTGGTATGAATGAGTGGTTAACCCCACAGATTTCAGAGCATTGACCATAGGTAATTAAAGGCTTTTTGGGTATAATAAAAATTTGATTAATACGTCCGGGTACGGCATCTATTTTTACTGAAAATTGTGGTAGTGAGAATGAGTGAATTATATCTCTAGATGAAATTATTATTCGAGTTATAATTTTATAAGGGATAATTACATGGTTATCAGAGTCTAAAAGTCGTTGACTGTTAAGAGTTAAATCTGACTCTTGTGTTATGTAGGAGTCAAAATTTAAATTTATAAAGTCTGAATACTCATAATTTCAGTATCATTGAGATCCTATAACTTTAATAGTAAGATCAGGTCAATGGGAATCTTCGTTAGAGTAAAGTACTTTTACTGTAGGTAATGCTATAGCTATTAAAACTACTATAGGGGTGGTGGTTCATAGAAATTCAGTTATGTTTATATGAGTAGTTTTAATGACAAAGGTTTTTGAGATTGTTACAGCAACGCATATAAAAAATACTATGATAGTTACTCCTACAATAAATCTTATTGCAAAATGGTGCAAAATAATTAAATGTTCAGAGGATGAAGAGAGCATATCTTCTAAGAATAAAGCACGTCATGGGTTCATTTTTAACTATAATATTATTTATAAGTTAAATGTTGTTAAAGAGAGATTGAATATATTTCATTAAAAGTATGTGTAGAAGGGGGAAATCCTATAGAGTATTCTAAACGAGTTGAGTAGGCTGAAGTAATAGAGACCTTTCGGTTAAAAGAAAGAGTGTCCCATAAAATTCATATAAATATAATTAGGGCTATAGTAGATATAATAGACCCCAAAGATGAAACACTGTTTCAAAATGTAAATCTATCAGGTAATCTGTATACCGTCGAGGTATACCTGCTAATCCCAAAAAATGGTGTGGAAAAAAGTTAAATTTACCCCAATAAAGGTTAAGAAAAATTGTGGTAGACTAATTTTTATGGGGGTTGAAACCCCTAATACTAATGGTATAAAATGTATTCCAGCAAAAATAGAAAATACAGCTCCTATTAGATAGAACATAGTGAAAATGGGCGACTACATAATAGGTGTCGTGAAGGGTGATATCAAGGGAGGAGGATCTTAAAATAATTCCTGTTAAACCACCTACGGTAAATAAAAATAAAAACCCTAATGTCCAAATTTGAGAAATAGAAAAATTATTAGGAGATCCTGATATAGTTGCCAGTCAACTAAAAATTTTAATTCCTGTGGGGATAGCAATAATTATTGTGGCAGATGTAAAAAAGGCCCGAGTGTCAACATCTAGTCCGACTGTAAATATGTGGTGTGCTCATACAATAAATCCTAATCCGCCAATTCCTGCTATAGCATAAATTATACTAAGATGACCAAAGGTAAATTTTTTATTGGCGTTATCTGTTAAAATATGAGAAATAAGTCCAAATCCAGGTTAAATTAAAATATAGACTTCTGGATGTCCAAAAAATCAAAATAAATGCTGAAATAAAATAGGGTCACCCCCACCCACAGGGTCAAAAAAAGAAGTATTAATATTTCGATCTAAAATTAATATTGTTAATGCTCCAGCTAATACAGGTAAACTTAATAAAAGTAAAAAGGCTGTAATTAATGAAGATCATAAGAATAATGATAGTTTTTCTATGGGTATACCAGTTGGGCGAAGAGTAATGATTGTGGTAATAAAATTTATAGCCCCTAGCAGCGTCTACATGACAGGATTTTCACTGGATGCAAACCCCCCTCAAAAACCTCAGCCTACCCCCCTAAAAAAATTTGCCGCCTTCGGCGGCATTATTTCGATAGAATAAATTATAATCTTATAAATATAAGTCTGAATATTTTATGAAATAATGATATATAGATTACAGGAAGAATATTTATTGGTATAAAAATTATCGAAATTTAAAAAATTATATATTTTAATTTCCACATAATAATTTTATTTTATTTATAATTTTTTTAATGTTAAAAATATATATAACATAAGGAATATAAATATGTGTGCAGAAAAAGACTAATTATAAATAACTAACTAATACTAGTAATCCAAATTTATTCAAATAAAAAAGGGAATTATAATGCAAAATGTCTAAATTTATTGCTATTTAATATTTAAAAAAAATGGATATTATAATTGCTACATAATAATTTTTTTTAATGTTAAAGATATAACACAAGGAATATAAATATATGTGCAGAAAAAGACTAATTAAAAATGACTAACTAATAAGGGATTAGTAATCCAAATTTATTCAAATATTGAAAAAAGGGAATTATAATGCCAAATGTCTAAATTTATTGCTGTTTAATATTTAAAAAAAAGGATTATCCAATTAAAAGATTAGATAGTCTTTTAGAAGTTAACGCGAAATCTGTAATAATATCTTCTGTTTTAAATGTATCATATATATCAATTTCACTTGATATTAATAATAAATTTTCTAAAAAAGAATCAGAGATTTTATTTCGAATACGTGTTTTAACAATTTTGACTTTACTCATAGCTCTTTCAGCAGAGCATGAGGTGGTGGGGAGGGTTATAAGATATTTATATAACGTTTTAAGATAAGGAAAAGAACTTGATTTAATTAATAATCTATATGGTAGAATAAATGAATATTTCAGCCATCTTTTTGTTTTGGTCATTTTACTATCATTTATAATGTTTTCACCTGTAAACATATATTAAAATTAAGTTGTTAATAAAATTAATAACTTTCATCATATAAGGTATCATTTTTTCTAATATTGATTAAATCTTTACTATAAATGATTGATAAGGAATCTAAGTATAATGGTCTAAAATTGGAAAATTCATCTATAATTTTCTGTGGATCAAAATTATATAAACACACAATTTCAGATATCTGGGAAATTTCTATATTCTCATTATCTGCTAATCCCGCAGGAGTAAAAATAGAAATCTGATTTAAAAAGTTTAATGATTCATAATTAAATCTTTCATTTAATTGTTCAATGATCATATTAATCACTGGGTAAAAATTTTCATTTTTATATCTAAAAAAATATATATTATTTTAAAATATACTTTTCATAAACTTTTCTTTTTGTTGTTCAATATAATTATCAAACTCTTTTTGATCCAATTTAAATATTGACTTAATATTATAAATATCGGTTGTAACATTATTCTTATCCATAAATGATTTAACATCGGTATGTAATGATGTTAATATATTATCACCATTTGCTTAATTAGAAAATGTAATTAAAATACATGAATAATAATTTACCCCTTAATCTTTGGAATTTATTTTTTGTATGTTGGATCAATTTAATCATCATTGCTAAATCATTTCCAATTGCCTGCATTTCAATGCAAGTTTCATGTGTACATTTTAAGATTATTCTTAAAATAAATAATCCTAAAATAAAATCATATCGTTTTATTCTAGATAGCAATCCCTCAGAAATTGAAAATGTGATTGCGTCATCGGAATTGCTTAACTCTGTCAAGGAGGCTATTATATATTCATAAACATCTAAAAAATTTTGTAATGCTTTGAAAGATGATGCCCAATTTCTGAAAATAAATAAAATTCTTTAAAAAATTATATTTATTTACCTTGTTGTGTTTTTTATTCTTTTGTGAGATTTTTTGGTTTTTTGCATTTGAAATTTGGTAAAAACACCCTGGCGTTTAACTCCATTCATAAAATTATATAATTCATCTAAAATTCCCATAGTTTTTTTAATTTCATTCCCATATCCACATATACGAATAACAATTAAATTAAGCCTATGAGCATGGCACCAGACATAAATAGCTTTAGGAGCTTCTTTAAATATTAAAGCCTGTACTCCCTTATTAACACCTCTCATATTACTAGCACCATCCATACTTTGCCCAATCAGGTATTCTAGTGGAAGATGTAATGCCTTTAATTTAGTTAAAACATTATTTTTAATATTTTCTCCTGTTGTGTCAGAAGTTGTAAAAATATTAATAATTCTTTCTACTGGGTGTGGGTGTGGATATTCTTGTATATACCTTATAATTAAGGCAACACATTCCTTTTTTGAAATATCATATGTACCATCTAATATTAAGCTAAAGGCACAATTTGAAATAATTTGTTTAATTATTTCATTCAATATTTTTATTTTTATTATCTCAGCCAATTTTTTAACATGGCCATAGGATATGAAGTTTATTTGTGGCCTTAATATTTTATTACCACTTTTTCCTCGTAAACTACTATTTTTCTCTAGATATGCTCTTAATACTGGAACATTCTTTGAGATCAAAGTTATAAGTCTTGAAAAATTACCATCATGAGAATTGCTTCCCCAAAAAGCAATATTGCCCCGTATTAAATACACAATAGCATCAATTATATTATGGATAATATAACGATTTTGGGTTATAATTTCCTCTCGGTTGAATAAAATGTGGTCATCAATACGCCCCCGAGAAATCCATGCCATATGTGCATATTCACAATCTGCATGAACAGGGGATGTTTCATGTCTCTCCATATCCTGGACTAAATTATTCCAGCTATCTGCACCTTTATGAGTCCATTGCATGCTTGCTTGATGACTTCCAAACATAATACAGAAGATACAGAATACTTTATCCAAAATAGAGCTATATGATAGCCATTTTCTTTGAGAAAATGATTTGTCATAATTTATTTTTTTATAATAGGCATCTTTCATGCTCCTACATTAAAAGCAATATATGAATATATAATTCTTATATAATTAATAATATATAAGTAATATTGCAGCAATAATTTATTAAACCAACCTGTTATGAGTTTTTGGATAAATAAATTCATTGGAACTTGGTTGTAGTGGACCAAATTGAATTATAAAATCAATCATATTTTTTGTCATTCTAAATCTAAAAAAATGAAAGGGATCATTAGGATTCTTTTCCCTATATAAAGAAATAATATTTTCTTCATTATCTTCATATGATAAAGGAGTTATTTTAGCTTTGTTTGGTAACTGTATAATTTAAAATGTATAGATAGCTTAAGGTTATTACTTTATCTATATAAATTGATTCTAATGCTTGCATATCAATATCATCATTTTTACCCTTTAAAGACAATATTAAATAATATTTAAATTATAAACTTCTTTAATTGTTGATAAATTTCCAGATATTTTTTCTGGGTTGTCTAAATTAGAACTTCTAGGCATATTTTCGATTTTCTATATTTTGAAAAGAGAATATTAATTTATTAAATTGTAAATGCTTTGTCAGATTCTTTAAAAAAATTTTTTTTTTAAAAATTATAATACCGATGTTTCATCATCTATGAATGGAATAATTTCTGGATAGGGAGCATCTAAATGAGATTGCTAAATTTTAAATATAAAAAATGGTCATTTTTAATATTTTGAAATATTTACTACTTTGTCCTTAAAAATGAATGCAGTCTCCATATTATAAGTTTTCTTTAGATCAAATGAATAAATTATAGTATAAATACTTAAAAAAACTTCTTCATCTTGATTTAGTGTGATAATATTATGTAATGGTTGTGGTAGATTTATCTTAAGAGTATCTAATGGAGAGTCAATTTCCTTAAAAGTGTTTAAAATTATATATTGATCACTTAAATATGATATAAAAAGCATGTATAAAAATCAAAAAATAGTTTAACCTTTTGAAAATATGTTGCAATTGATTTATTTTTTTTAAATTGAGTATTGATTCCATTAGTTATTTTGAGATTATTTGCATTTGGACCAAGTTTGTTCCAAACCTTATCTTTTTTAATTGCTATTACCTCAAACTTTACATCACTATTAGGATGTCTTGTTTTGTAATGTAAATTAATTTTGTCTTTTCTAATCTTATTAGAGTTGCAGCCTGTATGCAAGCATTTTACCTTGTAATTTATCTTATTGCTTGGCATCTGATTTAAAAAATTTATATCCATTTTAAAAAGATGATTTAGATGTAATAATATATTAATAATAAAATAGATGTTTTAAAAATGGTGTAATATGATTAAAATCTACCCATGAAAAGATTTTTATTATTATTTATAAATTCCATAAAAGAAGAAAAGGCAATTATAATTCATAAATTATTAATATACTTTTTAGGAAAATATGGATGGCAAATATCTTCAAATATTGAAATATCTTTTTTAAATAACATCAATTTGGATCATAAAATTGTATTATATATTTTTGTTGTTTTAATTTCAAGAAATTCGTAAATATGAAAATAATTATCCTAAATGTTGACAAAATGGCGAGTCCAGCTGATTTACTATTTTAATGAATGAACAAATATATTATGATTGTAACGTTGATGTTTAGTAATCTATCTCTATTATAATAGATCTATTATTATATTATAAATAATTAAAGCAAACTTTATTCACATATAATTCAAAAATGTAGTAGATAACATTCTAAATATTTTTACCCTACCCCCCAACTGATGCCTACCCCCTACCCCCTTTTAGGATATTTAGATGCAAACTGTTCCTACCCCCCCCCCCCGCTCATGTAGACGCTGGCCCCTAGTAATGATCTAATTCCTGCGATATGCAGTCTTAGGATTGCTAAATCTGTAGATGGTGAGGGATGACCAATTAGGGAGGATAGCGGTGGGTAAAGAGTTCACCCGGTTGCGCAACCTGATTCGGTTATGCTTCTTGTTAATAGTAGAATTATTCTAGGAGGTAGTAATCAAAATGATATATTATTTATTCGGGGGAAGGCTATATCAGGAGATGAGAGTATTAAAGGAATTAATCAATTACCAAAACCTCCAACTAAAATAGGTATAATGGCAAAAAAAATTATAACTAAGGCATGAGATGTAATGATTATGTTATAACTAGATCCAGAATTAATTAATGAAGATGAATGTGATAGTTCAGTTCGAATAATTATTCTTAAGGCGGTTCCTAAAAATACAGATCAGAATCCAAATATAAAATATAAAATACTAATATCTTTATGTGAGGTAGATGTAATCATTCTTTTCAGTGAAATGAAAAGAATGATAAACATAGGATGGAAAATCCTATGAGGTTGGGAAATAGGGATTTCAGGATTTCTATCTTATTTGTCATCGTATTAATACTGACAATAACTTGAAATTTACTGTAATAGATATTTGGTTATAGCTTATATCACTTAAAGCATAGCTTTGAAGCAGCTAAGAATTTTTATCCAAAATGTTAATAAGATTTAATTTTTAATAAATTATTATAGGTTTTGAAGACCTACGGTTTTAAATTTTAACCTAAAATCCTTTTACTAATATAATACTAGTAAAAAATATGATAAAATTAAAAGGAATATTCTAACCTTTCTATCGTATACCCCTTTTACCTTTTTATTAAAGATTTTAGGTATTAAATTTAGTATTAAATAAATAGATCAAACTATAATCATGCGATAATAGTAGTAATATCCCACCCCTGATAGTAATAAAAGTATTACTACTATTATCGCATGATTATTGATAAGACTAATAACCCGAACTAACTTCATTAAAAAAATATTAGAGGGTGGGAATCCTGACACAGAAAACAACAAAATTATTAGTAAACTAACCCCTGTTACTTTGTACATTAACAAATAATTAGCTTTCGCATTAACTACCCTTAAAACTATTATTTTTAAATTTTTTACTCTAAAAATTAGAAAGATGTACATTCTTCTAAATAATAAAAAATAAAATACTCCTCTTCTCACCAGAAGAACTTAACAATAATTTTATTTAAAAAAATTTTAATTATCCCCCCCCCCCCACACCAAATTCCTGCGTACGCTACTGCATATATCTTAAACAATAATTTGAAAGAAAGAATGTAAAAGTTGATATTAGTTTATAAAACTAATCATCATAATTTATACATTTTTGGAAAAATGCATTTATATATAAAAAAAGTGAACCAAAAATGCTTTTTAAGAGATGGAATATAAGCCAAAGATAAGTCTTAAGACAAAAGTGAATGTATTCTAATTATTAATAATATATTTATAAAATTACTAAATAATATAATATATCAAATATAATTTTTTTATAAAGTGAGTAATTTTAACTTATTTATCTTAATAAAAGTAAAATATAATTAATAAAAATTAAAGCACAATACAAACAGTGGAATATTATATGTCGTAGATTTATAGTATATCTAATTTTATCAATTATCATATGACAATCAAGTAATTTTTACCAATATAGCGAATTATATATTTTACAGAAAACTATAAAATATTGATAAGGACATCAGAAAATATCTTTTAAAGACATTGTGAGATGAATAATATGAAGATTAATTTTTAATATCATTTTTTATTTAAAATAAATAGATGGCGTTAAATAATTGAATGCAAATTGTTGCAATATTTATTATGAAGATCATAGATTAGTAAAAATTTTTAAATTATTAACTGTAATATATTCTCTAACTGTCAAATATGTCTGTAAAAGTGAAATTTTACCTAGTATTTTGTAACTAATTCTATATAATAGAGGAATATCAACTATATGTCTACTTATTTTTTATAAATAAATTTCTTATACTTGTTTGGAATAAATTATTACCATGCTTTTATATTAATGTATATGTTAGCGTCAATGTGTTATTTTCGGCAATGTACACATTGCCTGATTTTTTTAGGCAATGTGTTACGGTGGTAGGCAGGGCAAATTGTACATTGCCTGGTTTTTTTAGGCAATGTATTATTTTTGTAATATTATATTATTAATAATATTTTATTTATTATTAATAATTTTTTAAGATTATTATTTTACTTAATTTATAATTTTTTTTAGATAATATAAATATAATATTTTTATAAAATGATTTTTGATCGCTAATTTTTAATATTTTTTAATATTATATTTTACGTATTTTTTTCTGATATATCTTTTGATCTCTAATTTTTAATATTATTTTTTACGTATTTTTTTCTGATATATCTTTTGATCGCTAATTTTTAATATTATTTTTTACGTATTTTTTTCTCAGAGACCTGCAGAGGTACCATTTGCACGGCCCGGCCGAGCCCGGCCTGGTTTTAAATTTTTTAGGCCCGGCCCGGATATTTAAAAAAATTTTTTACGGCCAGGCCCGGCCCGGATTTAAAAATTTAAAACCCGGCCCGGTGTAACGTGATATTTTAACTTAAATTTAAATTAACTCCCTTTAGTAATACTGACATTATGATTGACGTTATAATAAAATATTATAAAATTTAGTGTGATATTTAAACTTAATTTAAATTAACTCCCTTTAGTAATACTGACATATATGATTGACGTTATAATAATATTTTATTAAAATATCATTATATAATTTAGTAATACTGACATTTATGACTGACATGTAATGTTAAAAGTTTCTATTATTTAGTAATACTGACATTTATGACTGACAAGATATGTTAAAAGTTTCTATTATTTAGTAATACTGACATTTATGACTGAAATAATGTTTAAAGTTTCTATTATTTAGTAATACTGACATTTATGACTGACATGATATGTTAAAAGTTTCTATTATTTAGCAATACTGACATTTACATGTAATGTAAAAAGTTTCTATTATTTAGTAATACTGACATTTATGACTGACATGATATGTTAAAACTTTCTATTATTAAGTAATACTGACATTTATGACTGACATGTAATGTTAAAAAGTTTCTATTATTTAGTAATACTGACATTTATGACTTTATAATGCAATATTAACACTTATGACTGACAGGTGATGCTTAAAGTTTATATGTTTAGCATATTGACTCTTATGAGTGATAGATAATTAAATTTTTCTAATATTTAAATTTATGAGATAGATAATATTTTAATTTCTGATATACCTATAAATAATTTAACGTCAAAAACGTCATAGCTTAATTTTAAAAAAGTTTGATTGAAATCTATATACACATGGTAGGTTAATTTATTCATATTTAAACATAAATTACATATCATTCATTAAATGATTCAATATCATACTTTTTATAAAAATATCTATTAATAAAAAATATAAAAAGCTATATAATATAAATTAGCAATTGAATAGGACTTAACTCATCAAAAAGATGGCTAACTATTGTTTTTTTATAAAAAAAACTATTAATAAAAAATATAAAATGCAATAAATATATTGTATAAATTCGCAATTGAATAACATTTAAGAAAAAGATGAAGTATTAAAAAAAATATAAAATGCAATAAATATAATTTAAATTTGCAATTGAATAGAATTCAACTTATAAAAAGGATGTCAAACTATTGTACTTTTTATAAAAATAACTATTAATAAAAATATGAGTACAATAACATTTAACAAAAAGATACTTACCGATTATCAGAGTTGGGCAGTACCGCGAATACTTGTATCTAAGATACAAGATCCTTTTGTATCTTGTACTCAATATCTTATTGACATTTTTAATAAGATACTAGTATCTGTATCTAAGAATCTTGTATCTTTTTCATTTTCTTTAAAAGATACAGATACAGATTCTTTTTAATATTCATGTTTAAAACATTTACATATCACACAATCTAACTTAATTTTCTTCGTGAAATCTTGTATTATTTTCTTTATTTTTTCCTGCTATATTTTAATTATATTGATAACCAAGATTAGTTGGAAATTTTACAGATCACAAAGATAGATAGATTAAAAATAACAACACCAAAACTAAATAAGTAAAAGTTATATTTTATATGTAATATTTTTTAATTTGTATAATGTATAACATTTATAGTGGTGAAGATGAAATTATGGAGATAGGTTCTCCTAAATCAAATCTGAATCTTAAAATTCTAGATGGAAAATTTTATAAAGTAATTCATGTGAAAAAGGACAAGGTACAAGCCGAATGTCAAAATTGCACAAGTAAAAAAGTTATTAAAGGTTGAACAAACTCCTCTACAAACTTTGTTAAACATATTAAAGTATAATATACATTTTTATTTTATAATTATTAACATAATAATACCTATACTTAAGTCCCTCTTAGATAATTGTTAATAAAATTTTTTATAGAAGATGGTTGATTATCAAATTCAAATTATTTTGGATATATAATTTTTAGAGGTGTCGATACCACTTTTTGGAGGTCGATCTGATCCGATATCATATATAGTTTTGTATTCTGTAAAAATACCAATGGTTTTAATTTTTAATATACTTTTTATTAGTATAACATCTATAATTTAACTATACCATAACTTATGTCATTTAAATATATTATAATGATCAGTTATAGTTTATATTCAATTCAATTGCAATTCTAAAAGTATATAAAATATTTTTATTGTTAAATCACTTTAACAATAATCTATATACATATTAATTAATAAACAATTATATTATGAAATTTGAAATAAATATTTAAAATAATATTTAACATTAATATAGCGAAGATTTCTTTTTAGTAATACCAATTTCCAATTTATCAGAGGTCAGCTTGCGGCGATAGTAACTGTCAATATCACCAGCTTCACTAAAAACAGATTCTGAAGAGATTATCGCACACTTTTATAAACAGAATGCGCAAAAAAATAACAATATGGTAGAATGTTTATTAAAAAAATATACATAAAAATGGATTTCGATTTTATTTATAAAAATAAATGATTTAAGATATAACTATTTTTTTAAATTTTATAACATTTTATTTTTGTTAAAGAAGACATTTTTATATCGGATCAAATTTTATAATATTGACCGATAATTGATATTTTAAAATGGGTGTAATATCGGTTCGATAAAAAATATCGGCACATCTCTAATATATTTTATATTTAATTATTTTAGCAAGTTCTTATTAGAGGAAATATTTAAGCTACAATTGATATATAATATTAGATAATTTTAAAAGGTCTTAAAAAATAATTATAATAAGGTAGAATTTAACTTTATTGGTTACTTTTATTTATTTATGATATAAGTAAAATTATATTACAGTATTTATCTACAAAATTTAATCAATTTAAAATGCATTAAAGAAAATTGTTATATATTTAATAATTAAATAATATAATGTTGTACATTATTTTCATATTTTTTATATATAATCAATGATTTTGCAATTAAAAAAATTTAAAAGAGATTTAAATGTATATATATATGATATTACAAATGCAAGATTTAATAAGTCATACTAGAAAATAAAACTAATTTAAAAAATACATAAATATCACAAACAAGTAATAAAAAATACTTATTAAAGATAATGAATAAAATAAAACTAGTATTATTTTTTTTAGAGATTCCATTTAGCCATATACTCCGAATATAAGCTATATTTAAAACAACACAAAAAATAACCTGCAAACTCTAATAAATCATTTGATTTAATTTTTTTTCTTATTTGCACAAACTCCCATTAAATATACTACTCTCCCTTTCCTGTTTAAGCTATTAATGGACAAAAATTAATATTAAAATCCCTGGTTATTATAATTAATTCATCAATAAATATTTTATTAATTATTGCAAATATTCATTATTATATGTGTAATACTATGTTCTTCACATATAAATAATAAAAATTGTATTTTATAAACTATTCTAACTTAATTGGTAATGATAATTTAAAAGTATCTAGTATTTAAGATACTCTAATTTAGTAAAAGATACAAGTATCTTTTATCTTTTTGATATTTTGAACAAGATACTAGTATCTGTATCTAAGATTCATTTTAAAGAATCTGTATCTGTATCTAGATTCTTTTTCCGGAGGACCTGCCCAACTCTGCCGATTATCATCTTTCAACTAAATTGCAATAAATATAATGGAATAAAAATATTAGAATAGATAATCACATTGATATAATTCTAACAAAATGATTGTTATTTACATTGCATAAATAAATATTTTCTTTAAATATTTTAATATTATTAAAAAATTTCATGGGCGAATAATAAGCCCACTTATATTGGGTATAGATTAATATATTTGTCTGTAACAATGTGGCCATAGATAATATTTCTACCTCTGTTGCCCAGACACCGTTTCCCATAACATTTCTGTTAACTAGGTATTCCTCTACAGGATATCCTATAAATTTTCCCATTTCCAATTTAAAATCTTCGCTCCTCATAAAAAAAATTCATTCCTCCCTAAGGTAATTATAATTTTCCTGGCTATTTGATATCTCTTGACTTATACACCTATAAACATATATTGATTCTAACCTAAAAAAACAGTTCCCATCACCCACAATATGATCGGTTGTGAAAATCTTTTTTAATATACCACATTTTATCTTGGGATAACGTCCAATTACTTTGAAACTGAACCGTTTAGAGTGATATACCTTCCAGTTCCTTGTTGTGGGCAGAAAAAGTTCACCAATTTTTTTTGGTATTATTGCTCCACAATAATTTGGTCATCTAAATTTGATAATTAAATAATAACATATTTTTAAAAAATATTACTACCCTGATCTTGTACACCTATATATCCTTCCTCTCTCACTATACTTTTAATAGCTATTATTGTATCTTCACCAAAAGTACCTGATTATGTTAAAGTACATTTTAAAAGTGTTGCAAGCTTTTTGGGTGATATCAGGCTAAATTTAAGCAATATTTTAAAACAATATTCTATTAATTGAAAGAGAATTTTATATTGAATACTGTATCCTAGCTTATAAATTGTGGAATTTATCAGTAATATTCATAAAAATTTAGAAATAATACTTAAACCAGTTTATAAAATTATGTTATGAATAGTGTAAATATACCTTTCAACTAGTTTATCATATGTCTTGTTGATTCCAAAGTGACCTGATAATGACATTTCTGTGAGATTTGTCTCACATCCTCCATGGAATGATACTAAAAGTTTTTGTTTTTCGCTATAGAGTGAGATAACTTGAGCATTATGTATAAATAGGATGTCTAATTTCACAAAGTAGATAAAAAAAATAAAAATTCGATTCAAAATTTAAATTCGAAAATCAAATTTACAAGAATTTCAGCAATATTAAAAAAAACTGCATGATCATATAACTCTCCCTATCAATTTACATTGTAATTAATATCTTTGTTACTTATCAACTCCCTCCTTAACACTATTTATCAAAGGGGGAGTTAATCTATCATAGTTATTACTTGACTCAGAGGTATGTGATAAGGGCAGTTAATTAATCACGTTACACCGGCCCGGATATTTTTAAAAAAATCTTTTTACGGCCCGGCCCGGCCCGGATTTAAAAATTTAAGGCCCGGCCCGGATATTTTTTTAAAAAAAAATTTCAAGCCCGGCTCGGAATTTTTTAAAATTATATTCGACCTGGTATATACAAAAATTCACCTATGAGGTATTTTACCATATTTTTCAGCGAGTATTAACGCTTATTATTTAAAAAATACATGTAAAAAGCTAATATTTTGAGAATATTATATTGAATTTATAAAAATTATAAAACTGTTATTTATAAAAATGGATATTTTGAGCATATATTATATTTTATATTGCATTTATAAAAATAAAACTAATATTCATAAAAATGGTAATAATATTTGTCATATACTATATTTTATATTACATTTAAAAAAAATAAAACTAATATTTAATTTATAAAAATGGAAAATATTTTGAGAATATAATATATTGTATTTAATTTACTATTTAATTTATAAAATAAAAATAAATCGCTATTTAAAAAAATGCATGTATAATAAATAGTATTTTGAAAATATAATCTAATTGCACAATATTAATATAATTTATTTTATAATATAAATTTTTAACAAAAGAAGATAATTGTATTATATAATATTGTAAAAAAAAATAATGAAAAATGTTGGATTAAAAACTTTCATGACTCAAGGTAAATATAATAAATGCAATAAATATTTGAGAGTTTGCAAAGTAAAAAACCAGCATGATTGACGAAACCCTATACTCAAGAAAGATATTAAAAATTCACAAATTATCATGAAGAAAGAGAAGCATATCTACCTTTTCAGGTTCAAGATTACTTCTTCTTTCTTCAAGAATTCTCCCAGTAGTGGAAAAATTCCGCTCACAGCTTGCACTTGAAGCAGGAATTGCCAATACCCGTTTTGCCAATTTTGCTAAAATTGGAAATTCGCTTTGATGAGCCGCCCACCACTCTAACAAATTATCCACCTTAAATGTTTCATCTATTTTTTTATTTTTTTATTTATGTAATTATAATATTCATCATCGGGTATTGACATATTACCAGAATAACCATCGCCCCATTTGTCATAAAACGATTCAGTTTGATTAACAACAGTCATAATTTGACTGGTCGATGGTATTTCATTTACTTCCTGAGCCTCTTGTAATTTAATATAATCTTTTATATAGTTTTCCGTCATTTTGCGATCTGTCCCTGACTACATACGTAATTGCTTAAATTTGGGACAGAGAAAAAGAGAAATAAAATGATACTTGTGTAAAACAAATTTTTCAATTAAAAAATGCTTTATATTAAGTAAAATCAATTTTATTTCTCCTTTTCGCTTTGAAAGGTATTACAAACTTTAAGAAGTGATATTCCTTTATTTGATTGTTTTGGTAAAATAAATTCTAAAAATTTAGATATGAATTATAAAAAAATATATTAATAATACTTGAATATTGGGGCTTATTTAAGATATTCCTTTATTTGATTGTTTTGGTAAAATATGTTGTAAAAATTTAGATATGAATTATAAAAAAATATATTAATACTTTGAATAAATTTGCAGGAAATTAATAATTAGATCGATCTGTGGGTTGTTAGGTAGTGTTAACTATCACCCAATATTATATTAATCATAACTATAATATAATATAATCTTATAACCATTAACTCATAATGTAAAAATTTTTATAAAAAATATTAAGGCCCGGCCCGGTTTTAACAATCTTAGGCCCGGCCCGGATATATTAAAAAAAAATTTTTAGGCCCGGCCCGGGTATATTTAAAAAATTTTAAAAACGGCTCGGCCCTGCCCGGGCCGGGTTTAGGGCAGGGCCTGCAGGTCTCTGATATCTTTTGATCGCTAATTTTTAATATTATTTTTTACGTATTTTTTTCTGATATATCTTTTGATCGCTAATTTTTATAATTATTTTTTATTTTTTAAGATTATTTTTTACGTATTTTTTTTCTGATATATCTTTTGATCGCTAATTTTTATAATTATTTTTAAATATTTTTTAAGATTATTTTTTACGTATTTTTTTCTGATATATCTTTTGATCGCTAATTTTTATAATTATTTTTAAATATTTTTTAAGATTATTTTTTACGTATTTTTTTCTGATATATCTTTTGATCGCTAATTTTTAATATTATTTTTAAATATTTTTTAAGATTATTTTTTACGTATTTTTTTCTGATATATCTTTTGATCGCTAATTTTTAATATTCTTTTTAAATATTTTTTAAGATTATTTTTTACGTATCTTTTTCTCTCTTTTGATCGCTAATTGAGTTTTTTTAAAGTAAATAGGTAAAAATATGTTTTGTAAACATGTTAAATTAATATTTCAGTTAAAGTGTACTATAGAAAAGTGACAATTGTCACAATCGATATTTTTGAACATTTTTGAGTTTTTTTAAAGTAAATAGGTAAAAATATGTTTTGTAAACATGTTAAATAAATATTTCAGTGAAAGTGTACTATGGAAAAGTGACAATTGTCATAATCGTTATTTTTGAACTTTATTGAGTTTTTTTAAAGTAAATAGGTAAAATATGTTTTGTAAACATGCTAAATTAATATTTCAGTGAAAGTGTACTATAGAAAAGTGACAATTGTCACAATCGATATTTTTGAACATTTTTGAGTTTTTTTAAAGTAAATAGGTAAAAATATGTTTTGTAAACATGTTAAATAAATATTTCAGTGAAAGTGTACTATGGAAAAGTGACAATTGTCATAATCGTTATTTTTGAAATTTTTTGAGTTTTTTTAAAGTAAATAGGTAAAAATATATATTGTAAACAAGTTAAATTAAAATTTCAGTGAAGATGTACCATAGAAAAGTGACAATTGTCATAATCGTTATTTTTGAACTTTTCTGAATTTTTTTAAAATAAATAGCTAAAAATATATATTGTAAACAAGTTAAATTAAAATTTCAGTGAAGATGTACCATAGGAAAGTGACAATTGTCATAATCGTTATTTTTGAACTTTTCTGAATTTTTTTAAAATAAATAGCTAAAGATATATATTGTAAACAAGTTAAATTAAAATTTCAGTGAAGATGTAACATAGAAAAGTGTCAATTGTCATAATCGATATTTTTGAACTTTTTTGAGTTTTTTTAAAGTAAATAGGTAAAAATATGTTTTGTAAACATGTTAAATTAATATTTCAGCTAAAGTGTACTATAGAAAAGTGACAATTGTCATAATCGATATTTTGAACTTTTTGAGTTTTTTTAAAGTAAATAGGTAAAAATATATATTGTAGACAAGTTAAATTAAAATTTCAGTGAAGATGTACCATAGAAAAGTGACAATTGTCATAATCGTTATTTTTGAACTATTCTGAATTTTTTTAAAATAAATAGCTAAAAATATATATTGTAAACAAGTTAAATTAAAATTTCAGTGAAGATGTAACATAGATAAGTGACAATTGTCATAATCGATATTTTTGAACTTTTTGAGTTTTTTTAAAGTAAATAGGTAAAAATATGTTTTGTAAACATGTTAAATTAATATTTCAGTGAAGATGTACCATAGAAAAATGACAATTGTCATAATCGTTATTTTTGAACTTTTTTTAAAATAAATAGCGAAAAATATAACTCTAGATATAAAAATTTCGGTTATATTTATTATGCTTGTGTTAATGACTAAAATAATAAAATATTCTACTATTATAATTAAACTTTACTTTTCACAGCAATCAGAAAGTTTTTAGCATAATGTATAATAGCTCGCAGATGTATAATTAAGGCATTTTTTAAATTAATTTACTTTTTCTAAATATGTTTACTCGGAAATATTAAATTTTTCAAATAAATAAAAATATAAATATAATTGAACGAACGTTAAATTCTACCCCCCCCCCCCCACCCCCGTTTATACGCTAGAAAATAAATTACTAATTCATTTTACTGCTAAATTTTTTGTCAAAATACATTTTTATGCCATATTCTTAACAGAAATCTGGTAGCAAGCCTTCCCTATAAGATCTTGCAAGATTTTATCTCTTGACAATAAAAACAACATTTTTATTATTTTTTATTTTCACAATATAAATATAAAACAATCATTTTTTATTTTCAACAATATAAATATAAAATAATCATATTTTATTTTCACAAAATAAATATAAAACAATTATTTATTTTGGCATGTATTATTTGTAGAATGACAATGAGAATTGCAAGACACATTAGACGCCTTGCATTTACATCTATTTGTCATGCAATTTTGTTTACATTGACAACGTTTATAAACTTGCCCAGATCAGTGTCTACATGACAGGATTTTCATTGGATGCAAACCCCCTTTAAAAACCTTTGCCTACCCCCCTAAAAAATTTACCCAGCTTCGGTGGCGGTGTCTATCTATTATTATTTTCATCTTTTTATATACTCTTTTCAGATAATTTATCTAGGATACTTTAAATTAATATATCTCTACTAACAACTATCGATATTTTGTGAATATAAAGAATTCATTTTTTAGATAATAAATTCAATTAAAACTTCCATTATTTACAATGAATTAATTATTATGGCATTATGAGCTTGCTGAAATATCTAAACCTTTTAAATAGCAGAAAGTTTTATTTGGAAAACAATGTGTATGATTGTTTGCAATATATAGATTTGGTCGATGAATTGTATTATAATAATTTTATAATAAAAGTATTAATTTTTACAGCAATAAATTTTGTCCTATTTCATCTCAAAA